CAGCCTGTTTTTCAGAGTCCATCATCTCTCATGGTTCGTCTCCCCCTCCGATTTCCCCCGCTTCATTCTTCCCCTCCCGCTACCTTCTTCTTCTTCTTCTTTTTTTTTCTTAACATATATTGCATTATTTGTTTCAGAGGTACAGATCTGAGATTCAACAGTCGTGCACAGTTCACAGCGCTTACCAGAGCACATACCCTCCCCAGTGTCTATCACCCAGTCACCCCATCCCTCCCACCCCACCCCCCAGTGTTCTGTATTCTTAATACTTTATTTACTTATAAGTTTTTATATAACTGTGAGTGACCATAATAATAGTAGATCAACTTTCTGTGATGTGGTTATACTGAAAATTTCAGGGGTTGTATTTTTTAAAATGGCATAATAATAAATTCAGTGAGTGTTTTATTACTGTCCTGAAACGGGATCTGTGAGAAGAGTGTGTATGTTAATACCCTGCCTGATGTAGACATTTGACAATAGAAAGCATTAAATAAATACCAAATAAAAATGATCTATAAAATTGGAAGATACTACTCTAGGTCCTTAAAACTTAATCTCAAAACAAAATTCCAGGGTGGTCGGGGGATGGGTTAGCCTGGTGATGGGCATTAAGGAGGGCACGTTCTGCGTGGAGCACTGGGTGTTGTACGCAGACAGTCAATCATGGAGCGAAAACTAATGATGTACTGTGTGGTGACATAACATAAGAATAAGTAAAATAACAAAACTCTGAAACACAGAAGGCACTCGCTGTAACAGACAGCCCAGCTGTGGGGGTCCTGTTCGTCTCCTGTTGGCGTCGCTCACGCTGTCCAGGGCACGCAAAGCATCCCCAAGTCCTGCAGCAGAGATGTGCTGCTTTCATGAAAGCTTATTCCGTTTTTAAACAAGCTTTGTTTTGTAATAATTACAGATTCACAGGAAGTTGCAGGAACAGTACAGAAGGATCATGTCCCCTTCCCCCGGGTGACGACACAGTAGCACCCTGTCAAGGTCAGGAAGGTCACTGGTGCAGTCTGTAGGCCTGCAGACGTCACCCGCGTCGCTGTGGGCTCTGCGGCACCCTGACTCCCGGGGAGGTTCCCGCCGCCGCCGCCCCTGCAGCTCATAACCGGAGCCTGTTGTGAGAATACCCTAAAAGTGGAGCCGTGCACACGTGACCTCTGGACACAGGCGTTGTTGGCTCGGACGGTGCCCTTTCAGTGTGGAGCAGTGAGGCTCTGTGACTTCTTGTGTGAAGGCTTTTGGGCGCACCTAAGTTTTCCTCTGTCCGGATCGACGTCTAGGCACGGGGTGAGTGTGGTCAGCGTATGTGCAGTCCTTCTAGAGGACTGCACCCCTGCACGCTCCCGCCGCCCCGCCCCTGCTTGTCCTTCCAGCCCCCAGAGCTGTCACTGGTTTTTATTTCTGCTGTTACTTTTTTTAGCAGGCTCCACGCCCAGCGTGTCACCCAGTGTGGGGCTTGAGCTCACGGCCCTGAGTTCGTGACCTAAGCCAAGGTCAAGAGTCGGGCGCTCGACCAACTGCGCCACCCAGGCGCCCCCTTTCTGCTGCTCTGTTGGATGGGCAGTGAGAGCAGCTCATGGCTCCGTCTTGGTTTCTCTGACGGTTCACGATGCCAAATGTCTCTCCCCATACTTCTTTACCATCTGCACATCCTCTCTGGTGAAACATCTGTTCATGACGTCCTGTCTTTTGCTCTGTTTGTTTTCTTACTCTTGAGGTTTGAGAATTCCTCACACCCTCCAGACGTGGGCTCTTGGCTGGGCTGGGGGTGCAGCCGCCCCTCTGACGCCCCGTCCACTTTCACAGGCAGAACTCCAAGTTGTGGTGAAGTCCACTTTATCCATTTTTTTCCTTTTATGGAACATGCTTTCAGTAGCATTTCTAAAAACTCTGCACCTAGCCCTAGGGCCTAGGTTTTCTCCTATGTTTTTTCAAAAGGCCTGAAGTTCTACTTTTTTTTAAAGATTCCATTTATTTATTTGACAGAGACAGAGACAGTGAGAGCAGGAACACAAGCAGGGGGAGCGGGAGAGGGAGAAGCAGGCTTCCCGCCGAGCAGAGAGCCCGATGAGGGGCTCGATCCCAGGAGCCTGGGACCCTGACCCGAGCCGAAGGCAGTCGCTTAACCAACTGAGCCACCCAGGCGCCCTACATTTTTTTTTTAAGATTTATTTATTTGAGAGGACATGCGTGCATGTGGCAGGTGGGGAGGGACAAAGGGAGAGCGAGAGAGAGAACTTCAGTCAGGCTCCACGCCCAGTGCGGCTTGATCTCACGACCCCGAGATCAGACCTGAGCAGAAATCAAGAGTCAGACACTTGACCGACTAAGCCCTCCAGGCGCCCCCTCAGGTTCCAGTCTACATTTAACTTAATGATCTGTTTTGGGGCTAATTTTGTAAAAGGTGTGAAGTTTAGTAGAGGTTTATTTTCTTGCTTATGGATATTCAGTTTTCCCACCATCATTTATTGAGAAACGACCGCTCTCCCACTGAATGATCTTGGCACCCTGCCGAGAACCATTTTAGATCGGTGAGGGTCCGTTTCTGGGCCCTTCTCTCCCAGGCCCTTCTCTCTTCATGTCGGCACCGCGCTGTGTTGATTGCTGTAGCTTTGTAGTAGGTCTGGAAGTCAGGAAGCGTGAGGCCTCCAGCTCTGTCCTTCTGCAAGACTGTTTTGCTGTTCAGGGTCCCTGAGATCCGTATGAATGTCAGGATTGGCTTTTCTGTATCTGTAAAAAATGGCATTGGGATTTTGACAGGGATCGCACTGACTCTGTGGTTCACCCTGGGTGTCCAGGCGCTTCAACAATGTTCAGTCTTCCAACCCATGCACACGGGACGCGTTTCCACATACTTACGTCTTCTTTCACCTCTTTCAGCAATGTTTTGTGGTTTTCGGTGTACACGTCTTTTGTCTCCTTGGTTAAGTTTACTCCTTATATTTTGCTCTTTTTGATGCTATTATAAATTATTTTTCTTAATCCCCTTTTTTTCTGATGGTTTATGGTCACTGTATAGGAACACAGCTGACTTCTGTGTTATTTTTATATCCTGCAACTTCATTTATTAGTTGTGGGCTTTTTGGGGTTCTCTACATATAAGATCATATCATCTGCAAGCAGAGATGTTACTTTTTCCTTTCCAGTTTTGACGCCTTTTATATCTTTTCCTTCTTTCTTTCCTTTTTTTGCCTAAGTGCTCTGGCTGGGACTCCCAGCACACTGTCAGATAGAGGTAGTAAGGGTGGCCGTCCTCTCCTTGTTCCTGATCTTAGGGGAGAGCTCTCAGTCTTGCACCACTGTGATGTGCGCTCAGGTTTTTATGTGTGGCCTTTCATATGCTGAAGAAGTTTCTTCCCATTAATAGTTGGGTTTTGTTTTTTTTTTTTTAAGATTTTATTTTTAAGTAATCTCTACACCCCACATAGGGCTTGAACTCACAACCCTGAGATCAAGAGTCGCACGCTCCGCTGACTGAGCCAGCCAGGTGCCCTCCTTTTTATTTCTGCAAGATCAGTAATGTCCCACTATCATTTCTGATTTTAATAATTTGAGTCTTCTCTCTTCTTTTCTTTATTCATCTAGCTTAAGGTTTGTCAGTTTTGTTGATTCTTTCAAAGAACCAACCTCTGGTTTCATTGGTTTTCTCTGTTCTAATCTCGATTATTTCCTTTCTTCTGTTTGCTCTGGGTTTAGTTACTGTTCTTTTCCTAGTTACCCAAGGTATAAAGTTAGGTCCTTCATAAAAAAACTTAAAGTCTTAGCAAACTGAAGACATGGAAGAACCTTAAATGCATGTTACTAAAGGAGAGAAGCCAATCTGAGAAGGCTGCATACTGTGTGATTCCAACTCTCTGGCATTCTGGAAAAGGCCAAACTATGGACACGGTAAAGAGATCAGCGGTTTCCAGGGGTCGGGGGGTGGAGGCATGAGAAGGGAGAGCATGGAGGAGATGTTTAGGGCAGTGAAAATACTCTGTGTGTTAGCACAGTGGTGGGTATGTGTCATTCCGCGTTTGTCCAGACCCATACAGCGTACAACACAAAGAACGCTAATGTGCACGCCGGACTTGAGTTCATCCTAATGCGTCAGTATTGGCTCATGGACTGTAACAACGTAGCACATTAATGCAAGATGCTGGTAACCGGGAACGGGCTGGTGGAGGTAGGGGAGAGGAGGATGTATACGGGAACTCTGTGTACTTTCTGCTCAACGTTTCCATAGACCTGAATAAAAATGAAGTCTATAAATTATTTAAATAAATAAATAAAGATAGGTCCTTGGTTTGAGATCTTCCTTCTTTCTTCCAAGCACGTTGGTAGCCCTGGGCTCCTCTCTCCACAGCCACCTGCTCCCTCCCTGCATTTGGGATGCTGTGTTTGTGTTTCGGCTGGGCTCTGGGTTTCTCCTTTGACCTGCGGGTAGTTCAGGAGGGTGGTGTTTAATTTCCACACATTTGTGAATTTTCTGGTTCTCCTGTTACCGATTTCTAGTTTCACACCACTGTGGCCAGAAATGATTCTTCTATGATTTCAGTCTTAGAGCTTACTAAGACTGGTTTTGTGGCCTAACATATAATCTGTCCTAGAGGATGTCTTGGGTTATGTTGTTGTTGTTGTTGTTGTTGAAGTAAGTTCTGTGCCCGTGATGGGGCTCAAACTTAGGACCCCGAGATCAAGCGTCGCACGCTCCATGGACGGAGCCAGCCGGGCGCCCCCGGGAAGAGTGTGCGGTCCGCTTCTCTGGGTGGTTCGTCTTGTCTCTGTGCATTGTGGTGAGTGTGTGGTGGCCTCAGTTTGTATGCCCCGTGACTAAGAAGTTAGTTTGTTCGTTGGCCATCAGAGTGCCCTTTCTGTAGGTGCCCGCCAGGTGGCCCAGCATCTTTCTGTTGGGTTGCTGTCTTCCCCTTGGTGGTGGGCACAGTTCTTTATGTGACCCGGACACAGTCCCTTGTTTGGGTGCCAAGACCGCACGTGTCTTTCTCTCTCTTTGGTTTGATTTTGTGTTCTTTTGATGACGTCTTTTGAGAACAGCAGTTCTCCGTTCTAATTCAGGCCAATTTATCAATTTTTTTCTTCCACCATTACTGCTTTTGTATGTTCCTGAAGGAATTGCATGCTGCCCCCAAGCATGAAGATGTTCTAAACGCTCTGCGGTTTTACCTTTCCTTTTCAGTTCACAGTCCGTTGCCATTGCTTCTGGCGATGATGTCTGTAGGGTTCCTCAGCGGCTCAGACCCTCCTTTCGCGAGACTGCCGCGCTGGCATCGTTGCCCGCGGCCCAGTGCCCTTGTGCAGGTTGCTCTCCCTTCTGGAGGGAGAGTCGAGGCTGGTGGCCCTTTTCTCCTGGCACTTGGAGGTGCTGCTCTGCTTCCTCAGCTCCAGTGCTTGGGAAGGACTGTCCGGGAGCCAGGCCAGAGCAGGTTGGAGCAGCAGCGGACGCCCGCGTCAGCTACGCCCCAGGTGTGGGCGAGCCATCCTGTTTCTCCTCCCTGCCCTGGACCTGCTTACCCCTGGCCTGCAGCAGGCCCTGCTAGGGACAGGGTTGGCTCCACAGGGGCTATGGGAGCCCAGAGCACCACCTCTGCTGGCTCCACGCTTCCCTGAGGGCCCCCCAGAGCGCCCCCGAGTCTAGGCAGGGGTGTCCACACGGGAGACGTGCCCCAGGGGTAGGTAGAGACCAGCCTGGGGTCCCTGGCGGGCCTGAGGGCTGGGCTCCTCACGGTTCCTGCAGCCAGACACAGCCTGCCAGTCCCATCACACCCTGTAGGATGTCCAAGAGAGGTGGCCAAGACACATCACTGCGGTGCCCAGCAGGGCCCGCCCTTGCAGGCCCGTGATGCAGCCCAGCCCTAAGAGGTCTCCCTCCCTCTGTAGGACCCCTGCTGATGACCAGCTAGGGCTTGTAGCCAGGAGTGCAGGCCCCCAGCAGGACGAGCCCCCTCAGCCCAAGCCCCTGCCACTTAGGTCCGAGACACGCATGCCACAGCTCAGCGGGGGCACCATCGTCGTAGGACACACCACTATTTCGTGTGCCTCTAGGAAAGCAGATGCTGCTAGTTAAAATACGATGCAATGATTTCTTAGTCTCACCTTTTAACGGAAGCTCTTGGAGAGCTCTGTACAAGAAGGAAGCCCTCAGGACTTCTGGCCCTCTCCAGCCCAGGGTTGTGGGTGCTCATCTGCAGCCTCCAGTGCATGTGAGCCCCTGGTGACCTTTCTGCAGATTCTGTTGCTGGAACTCCTGGTTGGGCAGGCCGCGGCAGCTGTGTCCACGTGGGCATCATAGAGGAAAGATGCACGCTGATTTCAGACACACAAGATGTGAAAAGATGTGCGTCTCCACATGGGTGAATACAGCAATGCCATGTATTGAATCCAGCCAGCCTTGCTCATCTGGGTTTGGGGAATTCTGTATTATCTTGCATTTTACAGGCTGTGCTTCCCATGCTCCTGACACACACACACACAAATCTGTGTTGCAAAAATTTGAATCCTTCCTGTGCAGGCAACGAGACTGAGGTTCAGAGAGCCCCCCACCACCTGTTGAGGTTTTGTCTTCAGGCCCTGGGGCTGCTGGTCCCGGGAGCTGGGCTGTCAGGACAGTTCTCTGTAGTTAGTGTTTGTGTTTTCAGGCCCCATCCTGCTGCTGACCAGTGACAACATAAAACAGCGCCTTGGCTCCGCTGCTCTGGACAGGTACGCGGCCTCTGTGTGGGGACAGCCTGGCCCACCCCAGCTTCCTGCTCACTTTCCTGCTGCTGCAGGTCCAAGCATAGCCTGGCATCTGCATCCCCCACGCCCCCTGTGTCTGTGCCTCCCCCCACCGTCCGCAGTGCCAGTGCCTGCCCACCCCCAGGTCCACGCTCTGGCATCTGTGCCCCTCCACGTGTCTCCTAGTATCCACGAGTACCGGCTGTCCAGCTGGCTGGGGCAGCAGGAGGACATCCACCGGATCGTGCTCTACCAGGCGGACAGCACGCTAACACCTTGGACCCAGCGCTGCATCCGGCAAGCTGACTGCATCCTCATCGTGGGCCTGGGCGAGCAGGAGCCCACGGTGGGCGAGGTGAGCCGGCGGGCCTGGGGGTGGGCCTGGGCTGGCGGGGCCTCGGTGCGAGGGGCTGGCAGCGGCTGGGGCAAGGCAGAGGTGGGGGTAGTGGTGGGGCAAGCTGCAGGCTGGGCAGGTCCTGGTCGGGGCCCACTCTTCACACGCCGCTGTTTCTGTCTTTTCCTTTGAATGAAATATTTCAAGAACGCAGGAAAAGACAGATAATAGAAGCCAACACCCAGATCTCGGCCCTGCTTTGGAGACATTTTGCTGTGTCCAGCTCTGGTGGTTTTAGCACAAAGCAGGGCAGGTGCCCTGAAGTGGCCCCCAGGGGGCCTCTTGTGAAGCTGCGTCTTTTCTATTTTACTATGAATGTACACAGCACTGTTTTTCAGGTCTAAATTTGATAAAAATAGTGTCCTATTTTATATCCCTTTGAAATGTCCTTTTTTCCTCAACACTTAGGTGTTTAAGCTTTATCCATGTTGTTCCACTCATTTTTATGACTGTTTAGTTTCCTATTTGTGAATACCCCACCATCTGTCTGTTCTCAGCTGTGAAGTTGCATCGTCGGCCCACTTTGTTTCCAGCTTCAAGGGTATGAAGTGTAGGCTGGCCATTCCTTCCGTGCACATTACGTTCCCCACCTCCTTCTCTCTGACCCTGGGGCAGCTAAAAATTACCCATCTCTGAAGCAGGTTCCTCTGCTGCAAGGGAGAGTGTTTGCAGATACGTCATTGAGAAGGTCGCAGTGTGTGCCCACGAGGTGGTGGGGGGGCAGCAGATGGGGAGGAGGCCCCTCCCCTCCTGTGCACCCCCACCGCTCCCTGCGGCCACTCTCCCCCAGCCCCGCGTGAAGCAGGCACATGGCCAGGCAGACCCCGGGGTCACAGCTCCGACAGCCCAAGGGCAGAACACACGCAGCTGAGCTGGCTCACAGGACCGGGCTGCCACCTGCCGAGGCCCTGCCCTTGACCCTCCTGCCTTTGGGGGGTGGGGCAGTGGGGCAGTGTCCAGAGTGGCGTCTCTGTGACAGCTCACCCCTGGCCTTCAGCTCTGTCCTGCCTGAGCCCTCAGGCTCTGCTCTCCTGCAGCTGGAGCGGATGCTGGAGAGCACAGCCGCGCGTGCCCAGAAGCAGCTGATCCTGCTGCACCGGGAGGACGGGCCGGCACCCTCCCGCACCGTCGAGTGGCTGAACATGCGGAGCTGGTGCTCTGGCCACCTGCACCTCTGGTGCCCCCGCCGCGTCTTCTCCAGGAGAAGCATGCCCAAGCTGGTGAGGTCTGGGCGGTGGGCCGGCCCCGTGGGAACTCCTGGCCTCCAGAACACAGCCTTCCTGACTTGCTTTGTGATTGAGCAGTGTGTTTCCTTCACGTTCCCTCTTCGGGTCTCTGTAGTCTGAGCTGCTCGGGGCGCTGATGAGGGGGGCTTGCCTCTCTGTAAGCTCACATTTGCTTGAGCTTGATCTTTGGGAGCGGTACCTGGGAGATGGATGTAGCCCCCGTCCATCAGCAGGTGTCCGTCTTTGGGGTCGCAGAGGGGAGGCCTGTAGCCTGACAGACATGCTGGCATGCACATACCTCCACAGGGAGCCTGGGAGAGTTGGGGGATGGGGGGTGGGGGAGGTCGCCAGGAGGGGGGCCGGGGGCCTCCTCAGCCCTGGGGCTTGGGGGCCGGGCGCCCCAAAGGCTACCCACATGCCACAGCCTGCCTGGCCCCGCAGCTCAGGGGACAGTGTCCTGATAGCCATGCCCTGGAGCAACCTCCACTTGGGGGTCTCTGGGGTCTCCTTCTGGGCCTTTGGGTGTGTAGCCCAGCTGCCCACACTGCCCCCTCACCCACATGCCCTGTAAGAGCTTCCTCCCGGGCAAGCCTGGGCCCCAGGGTGCTGCCGGGGTCAGGATCAGACCCTGCTGTGCCCTGGAGAGGGCTCTGGGTCCTGAGGAGAGGAAACCGCCCTGGTCAGGCCACAGTGTGTGGGACTTGGCCCAGCCTCCCTGTCTCCTGGCCCCTCTCTCAGGTGGAAATGTACCAGCGAGTCTTCCAGAGGCCCCCAGACCGGCACTCGGACTTCTCCCGCCTTGCTCGGGTGCTGACTGGCAACGCCATTGCCTTGGTGCTTGGGGGAGGGGGGGCAAGGTGAGTCCCCACCCCGTGCGTGCTGAGGATGAGGCCTTTGAGCTTGTCCTAGGAGCAGTCCCCGTAGATCGGCCCCACGTGTGGCCGAGCAGTTTTCTGCACCTGGGTGCACCTTGCCAAGCAGTGCTCCCCATAGGCTGTCCCAGGTTTTATTTTTATTTTTATTTTTTTTAAAGATTTTATTTATTTGACAGGGAGAGACACAGCGAGAGAGGGAACACGAGCAGGGGGAGCGGGAGAGGGAGAAGCGGGCTTCCCGCCGGGCAGGGAGCCCGATGCGGGGCTCAATCCCAGGACCCTGGGACCATGACCCGAGCCGAAGGCAGACGCTTAACGACTGAGCCACCCAGGCGCCCCGTGTCCCAGGTTTTAATGGTGGCCAGGGCAATAGACGATTTGTGTCTTGTTCTGATAGCCTTTGCTAGAGGTGTTTGCTTGTCCGTTAGCCTTTCGTGCCTCTTCTGAAAACTCTGTTCTTACCTTTTGCCAGTCTTTCCACTGGGCTCCGGGTGAGTTTCTTTCCGTTTTAATACACACTTTATGGAGTGCTGGCCTCATCTGGTCTTGCAGACCTAGAGCAGCTTTCTTGAGTTCGGTGGGCTAATGAGTTCCTTAAATGACCGCTGCCCCGTGTTTGTCACTCTGGCCCTTGCCACCTTTCTCCTGAACTTAAAGAGGGATCTGTGCCTGGAGCAGAAGTGGGGCCCGGGTGCACCGTGAGGAGGTGTGATGAGACCCAGGCCTTCTGCTGGCGAACCAGATGCTTGTGGGAGGGCAGAGCAGGACTGCCACGTCCGCGCTGGACCCCTGCCCCTCGGAGGGCGGGAGGGCGGGCACGGGGCACCCGGGCTGGGTCCTGGGCTGGGGGGTGCACTGTGGGGTGGAGTCCCTCACGCGCCCCCACCCCCCGGCCAAGTGAGGCTCAGGGCACTTTGCACAACCACCCGCCCCCCAGCCCTGCTGCTGGTGCTCGCCTCTCTCCCCAGGAGCAGGTGCCTGGCTCAGCACCTCCAGAGTGTCCCAAGAGCATCGCGTTCAAAGTGAGCAGGAGGAGGGAGGGGCTCGGGAGAACTGAGCCCCTTGGGAGTGCCGTGGCATTTGGAGGGGGCACTCTCCCAGGTGTCTCCTGCCTGTGGAGCCAGACCTGTGCTCATACCTGCCGAATCATGGCCAGAGATGTGGTCCAGCCTAGAGGCCAAGGACCCAGGCCCTCTTGTCTAGCAAGGATCAGGGGCGTGTGGAGGAGCATGTCTGAGCCCGCTCTCTGCACTTCCCCACCTGGAAACCTCGGAGGCCTGGAGTCTGGCCTGAGGCCCTTACTGACAGGACAGTGGGTGGGCACAGCCCCCACCCCTGATCGCCCCCGGACGTGGCCTGGCCTGGTGGTGCAGCATGAGCTCTGTGCTCATTTGTCTGAGGCGACCCTCCTTGCCCTGGGTTTGGACTTGAAAGCCGAGCCAGGGGGTCGAGAGAACCAGGTGACTTGCCTAATGTCGACAGACCGAAGGCAAGACCCAGGGTACTTCTGCGGGACTAGGACAGTGAGGTGGCCCAGACTCGGACCTGGTTTGTAGGCATGCTCAACAGCATGGTTAATGAAAATTTAGTTTTAGTCAAAACAATCCTTAGTTTAAAAGCCATGTGGCCACCCCCTCGCAGTCCTCTGCCCGTCTTGCCCTGACACCAAGTCCAGAGGTATCCCAGGGACCGTCACCTGCAGCGTGTTGTCAGCTCTCTGCTCATCTGCGTTTCCAAGTAACATTCCTATTCTATCTGTTTGGTTTTTATCTGTCCATCCATCCTTCATCTACCTATCGTCTGTCGTCCGCCTGTCCGCCCATCCGTCCATCCCGTCTTCTGTCTCTCAGTCCATCTCCCTCCTCACCACTCACGTCCCAGTATGGTTCCCACACTGGCCCCACTGGTTGTCCCCCTGTCTCTTCCTCGGACAACGTGGCTCACTGCACACGTGTGGCTGTGTGTCCTTCCTCGCAGCTGCCATTGCTGTTTCCTGGGTGTCACGGATTAGTGCCCAGACCGCCCCTGGAGCGTCCGCCTCCTGTCTGTGCTTGCTGCCATCCCGGGCAGCTTCTGCTTCACCATGGTGGGAGCCACACACCCCCCTCAGGCTTCCCACCACCCCTGGGCTCTGCTGGTTGCTTCCCAGTCTGGCTGCTGGGACACGGTCTTGGAGTTTCCCTTCACTGTCATCCTGGGACCTGCCTTTGTCCCTCCCAAGTTCAGCTCCTTTTCTGGATTCCACACCTCCCTCTTTCCTGACACATTCCTGATTTGGGTAGCGTTCCTGCTGTATACATTTCCTTAAAAGAAGATGTTTGGGAAGTAAAAGTTTTTGTTTTAAGATTTTATTTATTTGACAGAGAGACAGACACAGCGAGAGAGGGAACACGAGCAGGGGGAGTGGGAGAGGGAGAAGCCAGGCTTCCCGCAGAGCAGGGAGCCCGACGCGGGGCTCGATCCCAGGACCCTGGGATCATGACCTGAGCCGAAGGCAGACGCTCAACGACTGAGCCATCCAGGTGCCCCTTGGGAAGTAAAAGTTTTAAAAGGCTGCATAGCAGAAAATGTCCTCAGGGACGATTTGGGTGTGGAATCCAAGCTGGAAGTAATTTTCCCTGAGAATTTCTAAGGGATGCTGCTGCCGTTGTCTTTTGAGCTTCCAGAGTCCCTGTTGGGACGCCCAGTGGGGCCTGTTTTCCCTCTGAAAGCTCTGGGAGGGTCTCTTAGTTCCTGTGCCTGCAGGGACTTGGCCATGTGCCTTGGGAGCAGTCCATCCATCCACTACACTGGGTGGGCTCCAGGGGCCCTTCCAAATTTGGAAATCATGAGCTTCAGCCCTGGGGAATGTTCTATGATGTTCCCCCACCCTGGGCTCTGTCCTCTGTTCCTATAGCTTCTGACGCTCGGTCAGCCATCCGAGATGGGCCCCCAAGCTCTCCTGTCTTTCTTCTCCCTTGTTTTCCATCTCTTTTTGTTCTGCTTTCCAGGTGATTTTTCTCAAATAGATCTTCTGCTAAAATATTTCTAATGTCTGGGGCGCCTGGGTGGCTCAGTCGGTTAAGCGTCTGCCTTTGGCTCAGGTCAGGATCCTGGGGTCCTGGGACCGAATCCCACGTGGGGCTCCCTGCTCAGGGGGGAGTCTGCTTCTCCCTCTGCCTGCTGCCCCTGCTTGCGCTCTCTCTCTCTCTGACAAATGAAGTCTTTAAAAAAAAAAAAACCTTTAAAAAATACTTCTAATGTCTGAATGCTTTTTCCACGGTTTTCTCTCTTTGTTCCTCAAGTGTAATGCTGACTTTCTCTGAGAATATTCATGCAGGTGTCTCGCTCGCTTGCCTCGCTCTGCTCCTTGCGGGCTCGCATCTGGCCGCTCAGCCCTCCGAGTGAGGTGGTCCGCGTGCGCTAGGCCACATCAGCAGTCCTGGGGAGTGCGTCCCGCCGTCTGCCGCACTCTGCTTACCCTGCTCCTGGCCACTTGAGCTATTCTGGGGAAAATGGCTGTGACTGTCCTTTGCACAGATCTGTGTGTGCTGTTCTTTCCTCTCGGGCAAGTACCTGCTGGTGGGGCTCGCTTTACACTCTGTGCCCCCCGCCAACGATGTCTGATGTTCAGGCTCCCACGTTTCTGCCAACCCTTGGTATTATCAGGATTCTGAATTGCTGTAATGTGTGTGCAGGGGGTCCTCTCCCTGGGGCCTGTTGATGTCATGTGCTTCCCTGCCATTTGTGTCTCTTTGTTTCATAGCATTCACGTTCCTCGCTCATGTTTAACTGGTGGTTTGTCTTTTATTGTTGATTCAGAGGGATTATTTATATAGTCTGAACACAAGTCTTTTGCCAGATATATTTATTGCTAATTTTGTCTCTCAATCTTTGACTTTTCATTTTCTCAATGGTATTTCTTTGAGGACCAGTTTTTAAGTTCGATGAAGTGTGATTTTCCGTTTTCATGGTTATTGCTTCTGGTGTTCTGAGCGCCCTTGCCTGTCCCAAGGTCACAAAGGTATTCTGTCTTCTTCTGGAAGCTCTGTGCACATTCAGGTCTGTGACCCACCTAATGTTTCTTGAGACTCTGTTTTGTAGCCACACCTCTGGCTGAAGACCTTCCTTCCCCTGAGGTCGCCGTGTCACCCACGTGGCTCCAGGTGTGACCGTGTCTGGGCACCACCGCACTGTCCCGGCCGCCTCGTGGTAAAGCTTGACTTCAGGCACTGCACATCCTTCCGTTTTGTTTTTGTTTTTTTCAAAATTGTCTTTGGCTGCTCTAGGTGCTTTGCACTTCAATATAAATTTTTTAGAATCAGCTAAGTATCTTACAAGGTTTTTTTCCTGTCGTAAATGTCATCTTCTAAGTTTCAAAGTGTCGTTGCCAGTACGTAGAAATACAATCGGTGTTTGTTCCTTGATGCTGTGTCCTCCGACCCTGCTAAATCCTCTTATTCTAGTGACTTTTTTATAGGCTTTTTTTTTGCATTTCCTAAGTACAAGTTACTTTTTTTGGGAATAAAGGCAGTTTTTCTTTTTCTTTCCAAAATATATTTACGTCTTTTGTTTCTTCTTTTTCTTGCCTTGTTGCCATGGGAGGGACGGCGTTTGCCTCTGTCATTGAGTGTGATCTTGGCGGCAGGTGTTTGCAGCCTCTGTCAGATCGAGGAGGTGCCCCTCTATTCTTAGCTTGCTGAGGGTGCATCATGAATGGTTTTTGTGTGTCTGTTAAGGTGGTGAATTACACTGATTTTTAAATAACTAACACTGTATTCTGGGGATAGACTCATTTGCCCACGGTGTGTTGTCCTGTTTGTATATTGCTGGGCTCCCTTTGAATCTGAGTGCGCTTGTCATTTCTTGAAACGCATGTAGGTTTGTTCGCTGGCTTCAAAATTGAGTTGGGAAGGGGCGCCTGGTGGCTCAGTCATTAAGCGTCTGCCTTCGGCTCAGGTCATGATCCCAGGGTCCTGGGATCGAGCCCCGCGTCGGGCTCCCTGCTCGGCGGGAAGCCTGCTTCTCCCTCTCCCACTCCCCCAGCTTGTGTTCCCTCTCTCGCTGTGTCTCTCTCTGTCAAATAAATAAAATCTTAAAAAAAAAAAAAATTGAGTTGGGAAGTGCTTCTTCTTTTCCTATTTTCTGAAATTTTTATGTAAGATCTGTGTTACTCTTCCTTATATGTTCAGTAGCGTTCACTAGTAAAACCATCTGGACGTACAGTTTTCTTTGTGAAGATTTAAAAATTAAAGGCTCAGTTATGTTGATGGTTATAGTACGATTCAGATTTTCTCATGTCAGGTTTGGCAAGTTATGTTGTTCTAGGAACGTGTCCATTTTATCTGAATTTTTCCTACTTATGCATGAGGTTCACACTTACTTCTCACTGTTCTAACTGGAGTGTGTGCAGATGTGCCCTTTCTCACTCCCGACACCCCCTCCCTCCGAGTCGGTCCTCTTTCTTGTGTGTCTTCTGGTTCCTTAATTTCTGCTCTTATCTGTGTTATTTCCGTAATTTAACTTGTTTGATTTAAACTCTCTTTTTGTCCTAAGTTGTGGGTGGTAGATGTGTCGTGATCTCAGAGGACAGAGAGGCCGGCCCTCCTGCGCTGCTCCCGTGGACGCAGCGTGCCTTCTGCTCTCAGGCTGCTTGGGTTTCTTTCTGTCTCGGGTCCCCAGCAATGTGGGAATGGCTTTCTTTTGATTGATGCTTGGAGTTCCTGATGCTCCCTTAATCTGAGGCTTGAAGTTGACGGTCAGTTCCGTCCAGACCACTGTCTGTCTGTCCAGGTCCTGCCCCTGCCCCATCCCCTTCTTCTCTTTCTGGGCTCCTCTGCCGGATCCCATGCGTCCTCTAGGCGCTCGGACGTCTGTTCCAGGGAGCGGTCTCCATGGCTGCCATCCTGGGGTGTCCTGTGACTCAGTGAGCATCTTCTTCTGCCCTGTGTTCAGGGGGTTCTCTTCAGTGTGCCTGGCCTGCTGCCTAACCCGCCGACTGCACTCTTCGCGTCAGACACCGTATCTCCACTTCTAAAGTTGCCGTTTGGCCCTGTCTTACAGTTTCTCAGCTCTGTGCCAAATACCAATCTTGTCTTTAATTTCTGGAAATTGTTTTTAGGCTTATACCTGAGTATTCAGTTTTTTTGTGGTGATATTAAATACTTTTTTAGTAGTGTTAAAATATGCATGCCATAAAATTTACCATTTTAAATTTTTTTTTTCAAAGATTTTACTTATTTATTTGAGAGAGAGCATGAGAGGGGAGAGGGGCAGAGGGAGAAGCAGACTCCCCACTGAGCAGGGAGCCCGATGTGGGACTCGATCCCGGGACTCCAGGATCACGACCCGAGCCGAAGGCAGTCGCTCAACCAACTGAGCCACTCAGGCACCCCCATTTTAAATATTTTCAACTGTAAAATTCGGTAGCATTAAGCGCATTCGTGGTGTTGTGCAAACATCACTGTTCATCACCAGAACGTTGCATCTGCCCAAACTGAACCTCTGCCCCCACCCCCACCCCCGGCCCCTGTTCTCCACTGTCTGTGTCTGTGGGCTTGACCCCTCCAGCTCCCTCAAGTGAGGGAGTCCTTGTCCTTCTGGGTCTGGCTTCTCTCACACAGCGGAAGGCGCTCACGTTCGTCCACGCAACAGCCTGTGTCAGAATTCCGTTCCTTCCCAGCCAAGCCACGTCCCTCGAACGCGTGTGCGGCGCTTTGCTTCCTTGTCCACCCAGCAGGCCTGCAGGCTGCTTACCCCTTCTGGGCCCTGGGACTTGCTGGGCGTGGCCACTGGCAGCCTGTGTTGTGCCCCTGTTGCCTGGCTCCGCCTCTCTTGCTTGTCTCCTCCTGGCTGTGGTCACATGGCCTCTTCTCTGGGACTGGAGACTTCGTGGGCATCACAGATGAGAAATAGTAGCGGTGGTTTGAGGCTCAGGGCGGTGGCTTCCGTCGGACACTGGCTCTCCTGTCCCCGTGGGGGCTCGTCCATGTCCCCCCCACCCCCTGCAGTGTTGCCATCAGGGCGTTTATCAGGACCCCCTTCTGTGTGTCTTCCCCCCCTCCCGAGTCTGTGCAAAGCCTGTTCAGCTTCGCATCCCGTTTTCTGTGACTTACGCAAGAGGCAGGCACTGAGGAGGAGGGGTGGCTTGGGAGGACCATCTCTGGCGCCTTTTGCCAGCGCACGGCAGGTTCCTGTCCCTGGCGACCGTGCTTACTCCTGCTCTGTGCTCCTGCTTGGTGCAGAGGCTGTGCCCAGGTCGGCATCATCCGGGCCCTGACGGAATATGGCATCCCTGTGGACATGGTTGGAGGGACGTCCATCGGGGCCTTCATGGGGGCCCTGTACTCCGAGGAGCGGAACTACAGCCAGATACGGATCCGGGCCAAGCAGTGGGCTGAGGTGAGGGGCCTCTGCCCTCCCTGGAGCTTAGCACCAGGTCCCTGGGGTGCTGTGGGAGCAGGAGGACATTGGGACCTTTGGCCCCTGCTCGCAGCTCTGCAGGGCTCTGGACTCAGAGCAGGGTTTGTGGGGTGGGGGGGGGGAATGAGGAGCACAGAGCAAGTAAGGACATCAGTGTTGGGGGATGGGCTCTGGTTGGTGCCCGGTCTTAATTTATAAAGGTGACTGAGGACACCCTGGGGAGGTCAGCGCCATTGGAAGGAAAGTTAGTTACCTGTAGTTCAACTGAGGGTCCGGTCACAGGCCAGGCAGACATTTCCCTTCCCCATCTCTGCTGGTCTGATGCAGGTGTGGGAATGGCCACGGAACGTTGGGCCTGATGCCCTCATTGTCCTCAGTGTGCGTTGGGTCATGGGAGTCTGCTGGGAGGCCACTCTGCAAGGCACGGTGGGGTGGGTCCTGTCCAGGCTGTCCTCTTTCCCTGCCTTTCCTGGGTAGCCTTTGGCCTCCTGCCATGCTGAGGGAGGTGGTGGTTGTGGGGGCCGCCAGGCTTGGCTCTGCGGACTCTGGTGCTAGACAGGGGTGTCTTCAGGAGTGAGGGCCTTGCTAACCATGGAGGACCCTGGGGGCCACCCTGTCCTGAGTCCCTGACCCAGCAGCGCACTTGTTCTCTCTGCCTGTCCCAAGGCGGGGTCTTCATTCTGTTCATCTCAGTGTGAGCACGCTGAGGGGCAACTCACCCTCCACTGGGGGCCCACCTCCTGTATGGCCTGTGCTCTGGGCTTTTCCATCTCAGCTTCTATCTGCACAGAGGCAGGGAGGATCTTTCCTTCTCCCTCAAGAAGTCAGGCAGCCTTGAACCCGGGCATTCTTGGGGCAAGGCCAAGGTCACGAGTCCTGTTCCTGGTCCCCGTCTTCACTGAGGAAGGATGGGCCTCAGTCCCTCCAGAGGGAGAGGGTTGGGGGGCTTTGGCAGAAAGGGCCCTCAACAGGGCCACTCCTTCCCGGGCCCCGATGGAGTGTCTGCCGTGGTAGAGCATGGGGGTCAATCCCAAGCATGCTGGGGACCTCAGCAGGGAGCTATCTTGACCATTCACCTACCGGTGTTGACTGAGCTTTGTCCTGAGTGAGAGCCAGCGTCAGCGGGCACCCTCATAGGACCTCCCCACCCTCATAGGACCTCCCCACCCTCCTGCTCACGCCCTGGCATCCGCTCCCCACAGAGACCCTTCAGGATGCTTCCCAGACACCCTTGTTGTGTTCATAGGAAGCACATGTGTGTGCTCTGTCCCTGCTCCCTTCCCAGACTTGGGTTCCTGGCTGAGTCCCATGGGATCATCCTCTGCCTGGGTCTCATGTGTGCCCTGCCCACTCAGGACATGACATCGATGGTGAAGACTGTGCTGGACCTGACCTACCCTATCACGTCCATGTTCTCGGGGGCCGGCCTTAACAGCAGCATCTGTAGCGTCTTCAAGGACCGGCAGATCGAGGTGCCCCCCCCAAACAGGGACCTCCCTCATCCCCTCGAGCCTCCAGGCCTGCAGGGTCGAGGGCTGGCAGTGGGGGAGGATGGCCCTTCTGAGTCCTGCTGTCCCCTTGCAGGACCTGTGGATCCCCTACTTCACCATCACCACAGACATCACGGCCTCCGCAATGCGGGTCCACACGGATGGTGAGCACCTCCTCCTTGGGTTCCCCTTGATACGGGCTCAGACATGCACAGGGCACAGCGCCCCCCACTCCACCCCCGCCTGGGGCAGCGTGACTCAGGGGAAGGGTATTGAAGGACCAGCTCAGGGTCAGGGGGCAGGCAGGCAGAGAACCTGGAAGCTCCATGAACCAGAGGAAGCACCGAGATGACCCGAAGGAGGCAAGGAGCTCAGGGAGGTCTGAATCCAGAGAGGATCCTGCCGCGAGCGTGAAGGAAACGGGTAGGGACAGAATCAAGAGTCTGGAAGCACCCAGAAGCCCAAACTGGACACAGAAAGGTGCAGATAACAATGTGCACTGAGAGCAGAGAGGAGTAGGGCGAAGGGCACACTCACGCCTGGGGGATGTGGGGGGCGAAGGGCACACTCAGGCTGGGGGGACACGGGGCGAAGGGCACGCTCAGGCTGGGGGGCACGGGGTGAAGGGCACATGCAGGGCATGTGTTTTGTGGGTTCAGATCAGCAGTTGGTGGGAGACTGCTGGGCTGGGGACCGTGAGAAGGCCAGTACGTGGGTGGCAGCTGAGGGCCCTTTTCCAGGGCAACGTGGTTTGTGAGCTGAGTGCGTGTGTCTCTTTGGAGGTGAGTGGGATGGTGGGGCTCACAGCAGAATGTGGGGAGACTGCAGAACCAGCCAGGCCTCCCCTGGGCCTCTGGCCCTCCCCATGCTCCCTCTATGGAGAGAGCCTCCCTTGTGAAGGAGGAAGAACAGGAGGTGTGTCTGTCTGTCCAGACGTGCAGACCTCAGGAGCCCACGCGGGCAGGGCTCTGAGCCAAGGGTCCAGGGCAGGAACCCACTGTGGGCAGCGAAAGGCTTCCCTCCTGCCCCTTGGCAGGCCCTGGTGACAGCCGCCCCCCCACACCCCCAATTCTCCCAGGCTCCCTGTGGAGGTATGTGCGTGCCAGCATGTCTCTGTCAGGCTACATGCCTCCCCTCTGCGACCCCAAAGACGGACACCTGCTGATGGACGGGGGCTACATCAACAACCTGCCAGGTACCGCCCCACCCTCCCGCACCCACCTCCACTCTTGTTGTCCTCAGAGTGTGCTCATGGAGCCCAGAGAACACGCACAGGCACACGCAGACACGTGCCCTTGTGCACACACACTTGGGCATCGTGTGCTCCCAGCATATGGCCCTGTTTGTCAGCTCAGCAGCACTCAGAACAAGGCCAAGCAGAGGAGCTGAGAGCAGTTACGTCCCATCTGTGCCCACAGTTGGAACTAACAGCCAGAAAGTGCCGGGGTTGTTGTGGGCGAGGCCCCTCCCTCGGGCACACCTGTCACCTGTTGGACAGTTCTGTGCATTAGGCTGCCCCTCTACAGGCCCAGGAGTGACACTGGACAGGAGACCCTCTGGCCCTTGCAGGCTCTATCCCTGCCCCGCCCCCAGCCCTGCTCCCACCTGGGGCTCTGCATGCCTGTCCTGGGTGGTGACCAAGGCCGTCTTCTCCCCAGCGGATGTGGCCAGGTCTATGGGGGCAAAGGTGGTGATTGCCGTTGACGTGGGCAGCCAGGACGAGACGGACCTCACCAACTACGGCGACGCCCTGTCTGGGTGGTGGCTGCTCTGGAAGCGCTGGAACCCCTTGGCCTCAAAAGTCAAGGTGGGGGCATAACTCTGCACGGTGCCCAGGCGGCCAGGTGCTCCTCTGTGGCCTCTGTCCCCAAGATGGGCAACGTGGTGCAGCACAAATCCCTCTGTGGGCAGAGGAGGGTTGCAGCCCGTTCCGGGCTCCAAGGCCAACAGGGCTGCAGTCACTAGCTCACTGTCCTTGCCAGGGATTCTGCCTGGAGCAGCTCTAGGGAAAGGGGACAGGCCCACCACCCGCCAGGATCCATCGCCAGGATCCCTGGCTGGGCACCTGCCCTCCTCCCAGGCCTAGCAGAGATGTGTCTCCCCTTGGGAGAGGGGAGGGAAGGGGCCAGGGTGTGAGACGCAGGCAGCTGTGCCCATACGGGGTCCCTGGAGCTGTGGGGGGCCCGCAGAGCCTCGCTCAGATGCTTCGACGGCCCCAGGTGTTGAACATGGCAGAGATCCAGACACGCCTGGCCTATGTGTGCTGCGTCCGGCAGCTGGAGATGGTGAAGAACAGTGAATACTGTGAGTACCTGCGCCCCCCCATCGATAGCTACGGCACTCTGGACTTCGGCAAGTTCAACGAGATTTGCGTGAGTGCAGCTGGGGTGCGGAGGGCCTGCAGTGCGGTGCCTGCCCTCACTTCTGAGCTCGGAAGTGGGGCCTCCTGACACCTGGTCCCGGGGTTCCTGGTGTGTGTGCAGGAAGTGGGGTACCAGCATGGGCGGACAGTGTTTGACATCTGGGGTCGGAGTGGTGTGCTGGAAAAGATGCTGCAGGACCGACAGGGGACAAGCAAGAAGGCATGTGATGTGAGTGCCCGAGCTAGCGCCCCTCCTCCCTCCCTCCCTCCCGAGACCGTCCTCTGCCTGCCTGCCGCAGGGGGCCTGAGAGGTGCAGGGCTCCCCGCAGTACTCTGGCACCCCGCCCCCCAAGCTGCTCAGGCCTCTGGTACTCCCCCAGGGGCCAGGAGACAAGGGCAGGGGTGCGGCCCTGTGGTAGCTATCTCTTGGCCTCTGCCCCGGCACCCCCTCTTTTTTCCCCACTTTGGCTCTCTGCTGCTCGTGGTAGGCGAGGGTGGGGGCCTGTTCTGGCCTCTGCTCATCTTCCACGCCCTGCCCCAACTCCAGGGGTCTGGGCACCTCAGCAGGCTAGGACCACGGGGTTGCAGAGAGGCGCTGGGGGCCTGGCCAGGCAGCCAAGGGCTGTGGTCTGGGGACCAGAGGAGCTGTGGCCTTGGCCACATGTCCCTCCCATCTCGGCCCTCCAGGTCCTTACCTGCCCCAACGCCTCCTTCACTGACCTTGCCGAGATTGTGTCACGCATTGAACCCGCCAAGGTAGCCACGGTGGACGGTGAGTTGGACGCTAAGGACACACACCTGCGTAGCTGAGGGTGCTGTTGGCAGCGTCTCCCTCTAACCCTTGGCACGCCCAACAAGCCGCCCTGGCCACCAGGCTCCCTCTAGCAGCCCTGGGGCCTGATGACCACCGTGGCATGGCCCCTGCCCTCAGGAGGGGACCAACACAGCCCTCCCCTCCGTCCAGACGAGTCTGACTACCAGACCGAGTATGAGGAGGAACTGCCAGACGGCCCAAGGGATGCGTATGCTGACTTCCAGAGTGCCCCGGCCCACGTGGGCTCGGACTCGGTGAGCTGCCCGGACCTGCCTGTGCCCCTGGGCTGAGTCAGCTCTGAGGGCTCCAAGCAGGCCAGCCGCTCCCTCCCTCTGCTGCCCTGCAGCACAGAGCCAGAGAAACCTGGCCCAGGGTCAGCCCTCCAGGCTCAGCCCCACCATGACGTGCCGTTTGCTTCCAGGACGACGAGTCCTCACTTCGGCATCGGAGCCCCAGTCTGGCTTCCCAGGACTGCCCCCGGACTCCTACCCCCAGCACTCTGACCAGGATGGGTAGAGGTCTCCACTCAGATGCACCCTAGAGCAGCATCTGCTGTGGGCCTCCCTCAGAGACCCTGGCTCCTACAGCTCCTGGGGCTCTTCCCAGCCCGCCAGGAAGACCGGCTGGGGCCTAGGGCCCGTGAGCCACTGAGTCCAGCTTCTCTTGTGCTGGAGCCCAAGCTGCGCTGGGTGCCTCTGCCCGTCTGCACTGGCAGCTTCTGGTGGGGCTCTCGGTCCTGGCACCCTCTGTGCACAACGGCAGTCCCAGGGGCTGTGCCCGCCCCCGCGGGGCTCCCGGAGGCCTCGGAGACCTGTCGGAGCCCCTGGTGCACCTGCTTGATGTGTCAATAAAGGTAGATCTGACTGTGTGTGGACATGTCCCTTGCCAAGGTCCTTGTGGCAGAGAGCAACACGATGGGCCTGACCGGAGCCAGGGAGCAGCCGCGGCCCCCATCACTGGTCCACCGTGGGGTTGGGGGGTGGGGGCGCATCCCTGAGTCCGGACTGGGTGTGGCATCACCTGCTGTCCTCCGAAGTCACCATGTGGGGGCCGCAGGCAACCCAGTGCAACAACTGACCACGCAGGCAGGACACCCAGGGTCCGCATGGAGCTGGGGTGCCCCGAACCAAGAAGGAGCCCACTGCTGACCTCTCAGGCATCTTCCCCCGCAGTACACGGGCTGCTCTCCTAGGTCGCATGCCGCCCACACTGTCTCGGATCATTAATAGCGCCAGGGAGCCCTTTTGTGTAAAAGGAGGGACAACTCCGGCCCTGCGTCTTTGGGGTCCGCAGCCCCTCCCTGCAGGTCTCCAAGGGGCAGGGAGACCCCTGACCCGAGGGCCTAGGACCTTGCAGTCAAGGGACCGCCAGCCTGTTTCTCGGCGTCCCCCTCCCCAGCGCCTGCACGGTGGGCGGGACCGCCGCCCCAGTCCCCTCCGGACGACCCCGCCAGGCTCCGACGTCATGGGCGGCCACCTCCAGGCGTGACGTCGCGGTGGGCGGAGCCCGGCCCCGCCCCTTCCG